GAAGTACTTGATTAACTTTCAAATGATAAAATCAATTCATCGTTTGGACAAGAAACAAGATAAAAATAAAAGAATTTTCTTTTCTTCCTTCTATCTTCAAAAGTACATAAGCATTCGTTTTGCTAAAAAAGAAATTGCCATTGCTTGTGTCTAATTTGTACAACTTGTTTCTACGGTGTTGGTTGTGCAGTTCCCGGTCCCGATGAGACATTTTTGTTCCTGAATTTCGTAGTTCTGTTTTTTGTTGCAATCAGATTGTAATATTATCATATCATTCCCCTAGTGTTCAAATGCGAATAATGCGAATTGAAACACTGGAAGTCTTGCTCCTTTGAGGATTCCACTAGTGACTGGTTGGATAATATTTGGTCCGATAGCAAGCTTAGTTTCTCGTTAGGAACTTTACTACCGAACCACTAACCACCCCAGTGGCTTGTAGGGAAGGAGAACCCGTGAACGGTTGAATAGCCTTTGGTCCGATAGCAAGCTTTGTTTCCCGTTGGGAATTTTGCAATCGAGCCAAAGACTATCTAACCATCAAGTAGTGGTTTGTCGTTTCCATGCCTTGTCATTTAAAGGTCTTATTTCAGCTGATGGTGTTTCCTTCGTAGTATGCTTTACATTGCTGCCTCGTTAAAAACCGTGCTAGAAAAATCCAATTGGGACAAAAACTGGACGAAGGGTAAAAGAGTGCAACACATACTTTCAGTATAAGCGGTGCTCATCAGCAATAATACCTTTTAAGGTGAGACACATTCCAGTTGCTCGGCGATTTGACCCTATCTTGGTTTTCTAGTTCGTACAATCCTTTTCCAGTGACAGTTGAGACCCGGCAGGGGCCTTCCCATGTCGGACCCAGTTTTCCTGCATTGAATTTCGAAAAGTGTGGATTTTAACCACTTGTTATGCTAAGCTTCACATTCAACATCTAAACTTTCTCTCTCTAAGCTCTCGACGCACGTTATGCTAACGTACGCCGTCTGAGAAGAAGCCATGGCGAGAAAGGGAGGATGACCTAAACGAGAACCACTTGTGACGGTCAGCGAAGCCATCAGTGTAATAGTAATTGCAGATACTCTAGCTAAAGGATCCACTCAGCAAGTAACAACACCAATCGGACAACAATTTCAGCATAATTCTCAGAAATTAGGATCACCTAGGTACACTAAGAGACCAACGAAAAGGATAGATCTCAGTGCAGTGCAGATGAATGTGTCTTCATCTTCATGTGAAGGCACCACAGCAAGTACAGTTAAGGAGTTTCCGAAGGAAAAGGAGAAAGCAACAACAGCTGAGCTGAATGTCAATGGAACAGTAACAGCTGAGCAAAAGGATATGCTACCAACACATGCAGCAGCACCGGAGAAAGAGAAAACATGGGCAAACCTGTTCACTGGCAACAGATCTTCAGAAAATGGTATGGTACTATCTTATATTCCACCAGAAATTATTGATGGTAACATTGTGGCAAAAGTAGATAAGGAAGAAATTGAGGAACAGAATAAAAAATGGGAGTGTGCCCTAATTATCTATGTAATTGGGGATACACCAAGGTACAAATTCATGGAGAAATATGTAGCTCATGCCTGGAGTAGAGTGAGTATACCAGATCTATATTTGCATGATGAAGGATACTACATAGCAAAATTTGATATAATAGGGGATTTGAAGGACATACTATATGGAGGGCCTTATACTATTAATGGTAGGCCAATGATATTAAAACAATGGACTCCAGATTTCGACATCAAGGCAGAGTTCCTGATGGAGATTCCTTTGTGGATCACTATTCCTAATTTGCCTATGAGTTACTGAGGTAACAAGACATTGAGCAAACTAGCAAGTGCTATTGGGAAGCCACTCTTTGCTGATGAATGTACCACTAAGCAGACACGTATCTCATATGCTAGGATTCTGGTGGAAGCTAATGTGACAAAAAAGCTTCCAACAGAATTGACATTACAAGAACCATCAGGGAAAAAGATTTAGCTACAAGTGGAGTATGAAGGGAAACCCCAATATTATATAAACTGCATAAAGATAGGACATGACTGTACATTGGAGAAGAAAGTAAACAAGAAGATCAGTACAGAGGAAGACAGAAGCAGGGGAAAACTCCACAAGGTGGCAAGTTAAAGGACAAGGACAACAACAACAAACAGAGCTAAATGAGGGAGCAAGCAAACTAGTGAGGCAGGACAATGAGAATGCAGTCACAATCACTGAAAGTGCTGGAAATCCACAGGTAATAAAGGATAAAGGAAAAGCAAAAGAAATGCAGCATGCTAACCAAAGAGAGGAATGGCCAGCTATGGCTAGCAATAGCAGAAGGGCAATGGGAAATACAACAATAACCACAAAAAATGTCTTTCAGATATTGCAACATGAAGAGGAAAGAATGGAGGAAACTAGGCCACCTGATTTGGAAGGTGGGATAATCATTCACCAATGACTTGGCTAATATGGAACATTAGGGGACTGAATAAGAGATATAAGCAAAAAGAAATAAAGCAGTACATAAAAGAAAAACACATCAAGCTGGTTGGTTTAGTTGAAACAAAGGTGAAAGAAGACAAAGCAGGGAAGGTGATTAGTAGAATAGCCCCTGGATGGAATAGGATGACAAATTATGAGTATGCTGTGAATGGAAGGGTATGGATTATATGGGATGAGCATGTATATACAGTACAACCATTAGACAAACAAGGTCAATTCATTCATTGTCTAGTAACTGGGAAGCAGAATGGGATGTATTGCTATCTCACAGTGGTGTATGGCCATAATGATGCATATCAAAGAAGAAATCTATGGGAGCACATTAAAAGATTAGCACAGAATACTACAGGACCTTGGTTAATTGGGGGAGACTTCAATGCTATTCTCAATGCTCAAGATAGACTCTCTAAAGTACCTGTAAAAAGTGCTGATATAAAGGACCTTGCTGAACTATGCCATGACATTGGTATTGCAGAATTACCATGAAGAGGGAATTATTTTACATGGACAACAAGCAGTAGGGTGATGATAGGGTGTGGAGTCGTACAAATAGGGTGTTTGGGAATGATATATGGATGATGAATTATAGTCATCTGAGCACTGAGTATGGGGAGCCTTATATTTCAGACCACAGTCCCATGTCCATCAACATATGGCAACCTAGGAAACTTACCAAGAGTCCATTCAGATTTTTTAATGTATGGGCAAGCCATCTTGATTTTAAAATGATAGTAAGGGAAGAATGGAGCAATAACAAAGTAACAGGGAAGATGGTGAGTATTTGGGCCAAGCTTAGAAGGATGAAAAGCCAATTTAGACAACTGAATGAAGCTGAGTTCAAAGGAGTAGCTGAGAAGATAGATCAAGCAAGACAAACCATTCATCACATACAAAGCCATATGCAAATTAGCTATAGTGACCTGCTGCAAGGCCAAGAGAAAGAATGGTTGCAAAAGTTGGAAACATGGTCAATGGTGGAAGAAAAGATACTACAATAAAAGGCAAGAGCAAACTGGATCAAGTTGGGTGATGCCAATAATAAGTTCTTTTCTGCAGTAATAAAGGAGAGGCAACAGAGAAAACAAATTGTTGAACTACAAACACTGTCAGGAAATACCATAACAGATCATGCAGCTATAAAGGAGGAGATTGTATCCTTCTACAAAAGCTTAATGGGAACTAGTGCACATGTATTTCCTGCTGTGGACAAGATGGTAATGAGGGAAGGACCAACCTTAACACAACAACAACAAGACCTGATTGCTGAAGTTACTAGACAAGAGATAGATGAAGCTCTGAAGGGAATAGGAAGTGATAAAGCACCAGGCATAGATGGATACAATGCAGAATTCTTCAAGAAAGCATGGCCATTGATCAAAGAAGAAGTGTATGCTGCAGGGAAAGAATTTTTCCACACAGGGGTGATGTTTCCAGCAATCAACTGCACTACTATCACTTTGCTGCCAAAAATTCCTAATCCAGTGACAATTAAGGATTTCGGGCCTATTGCTTGCTGCACTTTGTTATACAAGCTTATCTCTAAAGTCATAGCTGGTAGATTAAATAAGATCATGCCATACATCATATCTGAAGCCCAAGCAGGGTTCATCCCAGGGAGGAAAATAGCAGATAACATCATTCTTGCTCATGAGCTAGTTAAGGCCTATAGCAGGAAACATATATCTCCTAGATGTATGATGAAGGTTGACATGATGAAAGCATATGACTCAGTTGAATGGGTGTATTTGGAACAACTATTAGAATATCTATGCTTTCCCACAAAATTCAATAACTGGGTGAGAGCTTGTGTATCATCAGTGAGCTATTCAATCATGATAAATGAGGAACTGAAAAAGCCTTTTGAAGCTGCTAAAGGACTCAGACAGGGTGATCCCATATCACCATTTCTATTTGCAATTGCAATGGAATACCTAAGCAGGTTGCTCAAAGGATTGAAACATGTTAAGGAATATAGGTATCACCCTAGATGTGGTAAGTTGGATATAACTCACCTCAGCTTTGCAGATGGCCTACTGATGTTTGCTAGGGGTGATAGCAAGTCTGTCTCCACTTTACATGCTTGTTTTATGCAGTTTTCTGCTGCATCTGGACTGCTAGCTAATCCCAATAAGAGTGCAATCTATTTTGGAGGAGTTGCTCAGGATACTAGACAGGAAATTCTACAGAAGACTGGATACTCACTTGGGGAGTTACCTTTCAAATATCTGGGCATCCCACTGGATACAAAGAAGCTATCAACTATGCAATGGCAACCACTGATTGACAGAATAGTTGCAAGGATTTCCTCTTGGACAGCTCGAAAATTATCTTATGCTGGAAGGGTGCAGTTAGTCCAAACAGTGATATTTGGTATCCAATCTTACTGGTCCCAAATATTTATTCTACCAGCTAAAGTGATGAATCTAATAGAGTCATATTGCAGAAGCTATATATGGTCCGGCTCTAATACAATTACAAAGAGAACTTTGATAGCATGAGATAGAATGTGCTTACCTAAATCTGCTGGAGGGTATAATGTGCTGAATATCAGAGTTTGGAATAGAGCTGCTATCACTAAAGTATATTGGGATCTGGCACAAAAGAAAGACAAAATATGGATAAAATGGATCCACACATACTACATAAAAGGGCAAAGCATAGTGGAGATGAATATACCCCAACAGGCAAGTTGGATGGTGAGAAAGATCATGGAGGCAAGAGAGGTGATTCAACAAATGCCTACAGTACAATACAGGCAGAGTAGTATCAAGCAAATATACTTAGGCATTTTGGGAAATTACAGCAAGGTGACATGGAGAACTTTAATGTTCCACAATGAAGCTAGGCCCAAAGCAAGATTCACTATGTGGATGCAATGCCATGGGAGATTGCTGACAACAGATAGGCTTGCAAACTGGGGAATTCAAGTAAGTTCAAGATGCTGCTTATGCAATAGAGCAGATGAATCACATGCACATCTGTTTGGTGAATGCAGATTTGCTAAAACAGTATGGGAAAGGCTTATGCAATGGATACGAATTCATGTGAATTCAATGCAATCTTATAATCAGATGATGGCATGGGTAGTAACACAAGCTAAGGGGAAATCATGTAAAGCCAGAATAATGAAAATGGTATATGCAGAATACATATATAGGATATGGAGGGAGAGAAACAGTAGAATATTTGAAGAGACAACGAGGACTGCAGATCAAATAGCAAGAGAAATGGCGTGTGTTTGCAATATTAGAGCTCAAGGAGGAATGAGGGCACAAATGCAGCAGCTTATGTTTTGAAAACAATGTAGTAACTAACCAGCCTCTTGTATAGTGTTCTTATGAGTAGCTCACACTATAGGATAGAGTTAGAATTTATGTAAAGATTAAGTGAGTCGAGGATGACTCTACTGTTTTGTAATGACTTCTTTGGTGATTAATGGAAAATATAATTACCAAAAAAAACCACTTGCTAATACCTTATTGATTTAGTTTCAATCTGAAAATGTTGATTTTTTCTCCCAAAACTAATAAAATTGTGCAAATTGTAGAAAGGTTTGAGAAGTGGACCTCAACAAAGAAACCTAACTCAAAAAAAGTGTTCCGACTCATAAGGCAAGAAGGAGTGAAGCAGGCCAAAAGTGCGGTCCACAGAAGAAAGTGCAGACCGTAAAATTACCTCTGCGGCTGCAGATCTGGTGACTGAAGCTCAGAGGATGATTGGAAAAGTGCGGACTGCACACAATTTGTGCGATCGCAAAACATGGTCGCACTGACAAGAATTCAAAAAGTTCAGTGAGTATGCAAAATGAACAAGTGTGAAGCCTTGCCAAAAGTGCAGCTACAGAAGGAAAAGTGCAGCTGCAGAAGATGAAGTGTAGCCGCAAACCAAATTGTGCGGTTGCAGAAATCCTCCACCTGCATAACCAAGAAAAGTGCAGACCGCACATGGAATTGTGCGACCGCAGAACCTCCCGAATGGAGTTTTTGTTAGTGAATTTTGGGCCACTATAAATAGACAGAAAATATTTTTTAGGGAAAGTTTTATAGTTTTTAGTGTTGTAGCCATTATCTTTTACTACTTTTGGTAACTTGTGACCATTTTGGGTGAAGAATCATTAGTTTTATCAATTTAATCTTGTATTATGGCTTTAATTTGTTCTTCTTATTTATTTTCTTCAATTCTATTATGAGTAGCTAGATTTTCTCTAGGGTTGTGACCCAACCCTAGTGTGTAAACCTTATGGGTAATTAATCTAATGTCTGTTTATGATTGAGTATTTATTATTATCCTTATTCATGCATTATTTCTAGAATTAATGGTTGCAAATATTGATTCATGCATATTTGACTTGGTTCTTACTTGAGAAAGATGGACTTAGTATAGTTAAACTTGGCTAACAAGAAATTAGGCTAGTTAAGGTTTTGGCTAGCTTAATTAAAGGGTTTGAACTAGAGATAGAAAAAACTCGACTTGAGCTCATATCAACTATTAGAATTGATACCCAATTGGGCTTGAGAAAGCCAATTTGGACAAAATCACTCTATAACCGAGAGGTGTTGAGTGGGTGATTTAGAGTTGAGAGGTATAATATACCCCGATCACTAAAACAAACATTAACATAATTTACCCATTAGGCTAACACCTAGGTGATGGTTACATCCCTAGTCCTTTTACCCATTTGATAAAAACAACAAAAACAATTGCTTGTTTTCTAGCCTCTTTTCCTTAGTTGACCATTGCTAGTGTCAATTTTAGAAGTAGATAACAAAACCCCCTTATTTGGAAGTGTAATTGAGCTATTACATCTATGCTCAACAAGTGTACACCCTAACACCCATATTTAACTCCATGTGGAAATCGACCCCAACTCTTGTTGGGTACTATTCTTCCGACGACCGTTTTCACTCACTAGTGAGTGTGGATTGGGCGTGGATCAAGTTCCTGGGTTTTTTGAGTCACCTTTATAAAAACCAAGTCTCCCACTTTGAAATAGCGGAGATTGGCCCTTCTATCATAGTATCTTTTCGTTTTTATTTCTAGGACACCATCTTTAAGTGCGCCAAGTCCCTACGTTCGTCAAGCAGCTCCAATTTGACTAGTAATGCTTTGTTGTTTATTTCTTCGTCCACCCAGAAGTACCTTACGATAGGTTCTCCTACTATTACCGGGATCAGAGCTTCTGCTCCATATACGAGAGAGAAAGGTCTCTCTTCTGTTCTTGACTTGGTCATTGTCCGGTATGCCCATAGAACTCCCGATAACTCTTCGGTCCACTTGTCTTTGGCTGCTTCTAATATCTTTTTGAGGTTTTGAATAATCACCTTATTTGTCGATTCCGCTTAGCCATTTGCACTTGGTTGGTATGGCAAAGATGTGATTCTTTTGATTTTTAACTCTTCAAGGAATTTTGTGACCTTTGCGCCTATGAACTGTGGCCTGTTGTCGCAGGCAATCTCCTTCGGTATTCGAACCGACAAATTATGTTCTCCCATAGGAAATCGACCACTTCGCACTCGCCGATTTTTTGGTAAGGACCTGCTTCAACCCACTTGAGAAGTAATTAGTTAAGATCAAAAGAAACCTTACCTTACCGGGAGCTGGCGGCAGCAGACCGACTATGTCTATCCCCTATTTCAAGAATGTCCATGGTGATAATACTGAGTGCAATAGCTCTACCGGTTTGTGTACTAATAGCGCATGGCGTTGACACTTCTCGCATTTCGGAATAAACGCCTTAGCGTCTTGTTCCATCCGGGTCCAGTGGTGTCCTGCCCTAACTAATTTTAACACCAACGAGTCTGCAGCTGAATGATTTTCACAGATTCCTTCGTGAATCTCTCTCATGACGTAATTAGCCCCAGAGGCTGCTAAACATTGGGCCAATAGGCCTTGGAATGACCTTCTGTATAACTGTCCTCCCCAGAAGCTGTAATGAGCTGCTTTGGTATAGAGTACCCGGGATGCCTTCGGTTCTTCGGGCAGTATTCCGTGCTCAAGGTAGTCGAAGATTTTATTTCTTTAATCCCATACCAAGTTTGTCACATTTTCTTCATAATAACTGTCCACATCCAATACCGAGTGCATGTGATGTACGACTGTACCAGAATTTGATCCCTTCATCTCAATGGACAAGCCCAGATTGGCCAATGCACCTGCTATTGCATTTTCTTCTCTTGGGGTGTGGGTGATTGGCCATTCCCTGAACTATGCGAACAGAGTTTGAACTTTCATCACATATTGATGCATGCATTCCTCCTTGGTGTCAAAGATTCCATATACCTGATTCACCACCAGTTGGGAATCACATTTAATTTCAATGACCTCAGAGTCTAGTCCCTGAGCCAGTTCAAGTCCTACAATTAAAGCCTCATACTTGGCTTCATTGTTAGTCAAAGGAACAGTCATCATGGAATGCCTTAGAATTTCTCCCGAGGGCGTAATTAAGACTACCCCAAGCCCGTACCCTTTTACGTTGGATGCTCCATCCATGAATAAGGTCCAAACTCCTGATGTCGTTGTTGACACTATCACCACTTCCTTGGTGGCCAAAGGCAGTACCTCGGGACTGAAATCGACCTCGAAGTCGGCCAATACTTGTGATCCTATTGCATTCCTAGGTTTATATTCGATGTCAAATTCACTCATTTCGACTACCTACATGGCTAGTCGACCTGACAATTCAGGTTTGTAAAGGACATTCCGTAAGGAAAAAGTTGTCACCACGGCTACCACGTGGCATTAAAAGTAAGGCCTAAGCTTTCGAGCGGCGATTATGAGAGCTAAGGCCAATTTTTCGAGGGGCAGTTAACGAGTTTTCGCTCCCGTTAAAATTTTTCTAACATAATAGATAGAAGATTGAGTATCTTCATCTTCCCATACTCGAACGACACTTACCGCTACCTCCGAGACCGCTAAGTATATTAGCAACTGTTCACCTTCCTCCAGTTTTGATTGTAAAAGAGGCCTTGATAAATACCGTTTCAGGTCTTTTAGAACATGTTGGCATTCCGGAGTCCATTCGAAGTTGTTCTTCTTCTTCTTCTTCTTCATAAGTGAGAAGAAGTGATGGTATTTTTCCGAGGACTAGGAAATGAACCCGCTTACAGCAGCTAGTCTTTTGGTTAGCTTTTGGACTTATTTCATGTTTGTCAGCTAGTCTAGAATATCCTTGATGCCTTTAATCTTGTCGGTATTGACTTCGATCCCCCTTTGTGACTCCAAGAAACCCAAACATTTACCGGAGCTGACTCTGAATGCACACTTTTCAGGGTTAAACTTCATGTTGTGCTTCCTTAGGATGTCAAAGGTTTCTTGGAGGTGTTTCAAATGGTCACCTGTGTTCAACGACATAACCAAAATATATCCTATGTATACTTCCATTATTTTCCCTATTTGCTTTTCGAGCATTTTGTTCATGAGCCGCTGATAAGTGGCTTCGGCGTTCTTAAGCTCAAAGGACATCACATTGTAGCAATATGTGCCAAAGTTTGTTAGGAATGAAGTTTTTCCCTGATCCTCCAGGTTCATTTTGATTTGGTTGTAACCAGAATAGGTATCGAGGAAACTCATAAACTTGTGTCCGGCCATTGCATAAATAATTTGATCAATGTTTGGCAATGGGAAAGATTCTTTTGGGCACGCCTTATTCAGATCCTTATAATCTACGCACATGCAAAATTTATTATTCTATTTTGTAAATACTACTACGTTAGCTAGCCAGTCAAGATACTTTAACTTGTAGATTGAACCAATATTGAGAAATCAAGTTACCTCTTCTTTGACAAACCTATTTCTGACCTCGACGACCGGTCTTTTCTTTTGCCTTATCGGAGGGATGTTGGGGTCCAGGCTTAACTTGTGCACGGCCACCTCTAGTGGGATACCTGTCATATCCACGTGCGACCATGCAAAACAATCAACATTAGTTTAAAGATTCTATAAATCCTGACCTGAGCTCAGGGTTTAATCCCGTCCCCTAGTGGAACTTCCTTTCTAGGAAATCTCGAACAACGCCACATGTTCTAGTTCTTCCACCGTGGATTTGGTTGCGCCCACTTCTTCCGGCACCTGGAAATACCTTGGTACCTTATAGGATTCTGGAGGCTCCTCCCTTTTGTTGTCTTTGTTTGATTCGGGAGTGGGCGTCGGTTCCTGTAATTTCTATGCCGCGTGTTCCTTCCCTTTATTACTGGAAATTGAGATTGCGTTCATCTCCCTTGCCGCCGGTTGATCTCCTCTTATTTATTTTTGATTCCGCCTAGAGTTGGGAATTTTAGAAGTTGGTGATATGTTGATGGCACGGCCTTCATCTTGTGCAACCATGGTCTACCAAGAATTATGTTGTAACCCATGTCGCCATCTACTACTTCAAAAAAGGTAGTCTTCATGCCCCCTTCGACGTTCGTGGGCAGTAGGATCTTCCCTCGGGCTGTCAAGCTTGCTAAGTTGAACCCAACGAAGAGCTTTGTGGCGGGAATGATGCTTCCGGTTAGCTTGGCTTTCTCCAGCACTCTCCATTGAATGATATTGGATGAACTTCCTAGATCCACCAAAACACGTTTGATTTTAAAATCGAGAACGTTAAGAGAGATTACTAGGGCATCGTTGTGCGGTAGTTGAAGTCCGTTGGCATCCTCTTCTATGAATGTGATGCCATTCTCGGCGACTTCCCAGAGTCTTTTGCTATGAGTCACCGACATATTTGTCTTTTTTGCTGCCGAGAAGGTCACATCGTTGATCTCGTTTTCCCCAAAAATCATGTTGATGGTTTGTCGGGGAGGGTCTTCACCTATCTTCGAGGGATCTGTGTTATCGCGGTTGCGGCCGTAATTGATTTTGGCCCGGTCGCTTAAGAAATCTTTGAGATGGCCATATTTCAACAACGTCACCACCTCCTCGCGCAAATGTCTATAGTCCCCAGTCCGGTGGCCATTAGTCCCATGATACTCGCACCATAAGTTAGGATCTCTTTGGTTGGGATCAAATCTCAACGACCTCGGGAACCATGTTTCCTTGATGTTCCTCATTGTCGATACGAGCTCCACTATGCTGGTGTTAAAATTATACTTGGACAGTCTGGGATAAGTGGAATCCCGGTAACCCGATACCTCTTTATCTTGAAATGACGTGTTATTCTATCCACGGTCAGTTCTTCTATCGGGCACGAATCTATCCGCTGATCGGAAGCCTCTGCCGCGTCCTTCGGTCCTTTCGTAGGGCAAAAATTGGCCCTTAGAAGATGCGATCTACGTCAAAATCATCCTTCGACTTACACTTGTTCATTTCTTGATCCATACCCTTGGTTGATGCCGGGAACCCGAGTTGATCATATTCTATTCTTATTTTTGATTCGTAACGGTTATGAATGTTTGCGCATGTAGTTGTGTGGAACTCGAGCAGGCTTTCTTTCAGCTTCAGAAGGCGTCTGAGCTCCTCGGATTTAGCCCTTTAGTAAATGCCTCAGCTGCCCATTTGTCTGGCACGATCAGTAGCAACATCCTTTCTTTCTGAAACCTGGCCACAAACTCGCACAACAACTCGGACTCTCCTTGTGAAATCCTAAATATTTCCGCCTTTCGGGCCCGGACCTTCTTGACCTCGGCATGGGCCTTGATGAAAGGGTCTGCGAGCATTTAAAAGGAATCTATTAAGTGATCGAGTAAAAGTGAGTACCACGTTAGGGCCCCCTTCGCGAGGGTTTCTCCGAACTTCTTCAGCAGGACTGACTCAATCTCGTATGGAGCTAAGTCATTTACTTTCACCGCCGTTGTATAAGTGGTGATGTGCTCCCATGGATCTGAGCATTCCATCATATTTTGGTATGTCTGTCATTCTAAACCACATGAGAATCAACTCTAGTGTTGCGCTTGACTTGAACGGCAACTGGGTGTATTTCTTTGAGTCCAGGCCCTTCAACACTGGTGGTGTGCTCGGAATTTGGTCCATTCGAGCATTAATTTCCCTCATAAACTATATGAGCTCAGTTTTAATAGGATAATTACCGTTATTATTACCAGATCTAATGTCGATTCCCCCAGCCCCGTCAAAGTCGACCTCATCCCTCGGGGTGTTATTATCAACCCTTTGCGCTGTCTGATTTGCGGGAGCACCGGGAGTAATTGGACCTCTTCCATTCGCGTTGTTGGAAACAATCGTTGATGCTTATCTAAATTCTGTCATGGCCTGGTCTTACCGTGAGAGATGGCCCATGATAGCCTTTTGTTGTGTTATTAGGATCCTCACCATTTCCGCAACATGCTCATCTTCAGCGTCATCAGGTGTCACCTCTCGTACGTGTCAGGGATACCGCCCTCCATGAACCGGCGTGGCTACGTCCTTCTCGGTGCGGGTGTCACTGACGGAATCCTCGTGTTGTGGCGAGTTTTTCTGTGCCTCAACGTTGTGTGCGATGTTGACATCGTTATCAGCCATTTTTTATATGATTTTTGCTAAGAAACAAAGAATCAAATAGATTAGTAATAGATGTAAGGATCAACTCAATTACACAATTGTCTAAGTCCCACGGTGGACGCCAAACTATTTACCCGTAAAACGGTACAGTTAAATTTATAGAGTGATTTATAGACATGTGAATTGACTTGATCCCAAAATAGTAAGTAAACTAAATAAAATGCAAGACTTAGCATTGAAATCAAGATAAGGTAGCAGACAACTTGGTTCCGAAAGCAGGCTTCCGGAGGCAGCAATAAGAATATTGATAGACAGAAAATAAAATATTATTTAGCTTGGAATAATGTGTAGCATAAGTTTGTCAGAAATTTCGTGTGTTACAATGGTTGTTTGTTGCGGCCAAACGCACACGCAAGTATACGCGGTCGTCAAGTAATAAAGTGACTAAAAGTCGGATGTCCAACCCACGAGGACTTGTGATTAACTATTAACTAAATTAGACTATCTTAATTATCTAAACAAGAATTAAACCTAGAAATATTTGATTCTAAACTAATTAAATTAAGCAATATAAATAATGAACTTTGAACAGAGAAAGAGCAGATTTTTATGATATCAATGTAATGAAAACGATCCAGGGTTATGGGCTATCTAACATTCCTATTGTATTCTTCAATTGAATTGACTAACTAATTTATCTAGTTTATTGGTTAACAGGGTTAATATTGCTCATAAGAATCTGTCGAGTCCTTACTCGCCTATTCAAGCTAACCTAACTCCTATATGTCTATGGAATTAGAACTAACAAGAACGCATTTATAATTCCTGTAAATTAACCAAGCAAGGCAATTAGGTATATGTCTATCCTAACTGCGAATCCGTTCCCCGATGCCCAGGTTCAAGAACTTGCTCTACGCAATCCTATATGCAATCTAGAATTCCCACTTTTGAGTTCAATTCAAGATTCATAGATAGTATTCAATTGGTGATCAAGCAATCAAATAATTAAGTGCAGGATTGAATAAATAAACCAATATGATAAACTAAGAAATCAAAATCAATATCCGAATAACAATAGTCATGAAAGAACCACAACCCTAGAACGTGAAGTTTAGCTCCATATAGACATGGTAGCAAAACAACAAATCATACAAAGAAACATAAAAATTACTAAGTTTGGTCGAAGAAAGATGAAACCCGGCCTCCACGGCGGCTCTGTGCTCTCCCTTCGTCAAAAGTTACTCTAAAAAATGTTCTCCTCTCCCAAAATAGGTTTAGGACCCCTTTTATACGAGTTGGGGTCATGTAGGGCCGAAATAACCTTGTCCCGAATAAAATAGGAAAAGTTTTCGCCTCCAGCGTCCAGGCCGGCGCCAAGCGCCGGTCCTGGCGCTAAAAACAGAATGTTTTCACGTTCAATTCCGTTGGTTCTTTCTCTTGAATTATAAATTCTCTTTGTTGTCTCCACTAGGGGGAGGGGGGGGGGGGGGACAAAGACCAAATAGTGTATCCCCTTTTTATATTCATTTAATTGTCTTTTTTTTTCTTCCGCGTTTTATTCAATTTTGCTCCAAATCTCTTGATCTTCACACCGCTTTATTCCTACACAGTTAAAATATAATATTAAGCACAAAATAATATAACTAACACTCAAAAGACGATTAAAAATACTAGAATGTGAGGTAACAATGGGTAAATATATGCATTTTTGGCGGACATCAACACCCCACACTTAGACTCTTGCTCGTCCTCGAGTAAGCATTAAAACCACTCTCAATAAATCAAGCCTAGAAACACCACCACTTCGGTAGATACTAACAATTAGGCCATATAGCGACTCAAACCATCAGATATACACTTCCTAATCATCGTGCAAGATATCCAAGTTACAAACAAACAACAAATTTTAACCTCCGAACCTCAGAGACGGACTCTAACTCACCAATTTATGCTCGCTCACCAACTCTGTCAAAGAAGCTAATAACATCACCTATCTATCATGAAATAAGTGCCCTCACAAGAATAAATAGTCCATACACTCAAATTAAAGAATGAATATAATTTAAGGACTTTGCATCAAAGAACAAATCTCGCACTCACAAAGAAATTCATATGTATGCACAAAGAACCATAGGCTTGCCCTTATGTACATCTCTACTAATTAAGTATGCTCAAATAGAATCAAATAGGACTTTAACGAGTTGTAATATTGGCTAGGGGACGGGTAGAAGAATTATATAGTAGTGACTTACACTTCCCTAAGCACTTTGCACTTTGACTTCATCACCTATTATTTTCTACTCTTCACTTTATTTTATTTTTCAGCCCTCTCTTCATCTATTGTTTCACAAGTATTTCCCTCATATCAAGAACGTTTATATTTTTTTTTAAAGCAATTTTTTTCATTCCCCTTTTTTTCTTTTCTTTTTCATGTCACATTCTTTTCAAGAAGGCCTTTTCATCACCTTTCAGCTATCGTTGGTCATCATTTTTCACTTAATCATCCCATTCTTCAAATTTATCAATTAATATCACGATCTAAGCAACAATGCTCAAGGAAGCAGGGTGCAAAAACTAGGGATTCAACAAAAGGATCAAGGCAAAAATACGGCTTCCAAACAAAAGGCTACAGGCACAAAGGGCTAACTAGTGGTACATTATCTGAAAAGGCTAAAATTTACAAGACATATCAAAGAAAGCCTATTATCATCTTCTAAACAGAGCAACACTTTTATTTCGCTTCAATAACATGCAGGGCAAGTTCTAGACTAAGATGTAAAACATGGAATATATGTAAGAAATCCTCACCCCACATGGCACAAGTATCAATCAAGATGGATCAATTCCACTCTAAGACAGACAGGATCATCGCGAACCACAAAATAAGAATAAGTTATATACAGAGTCACAACCCTAAGCTTGGGTGTCAGAAAGTCTGCTATTTTATTCATTACTCAAGTACTCAGAGGAAAGTACGACTCAAGCTTAGGCCTAAATATGCTAGTATCAAACAAGTAACGAAAGTTTTTTTTCTTCTCCCTCTTTTACTAGTCCTAAAAAAAATCTAATCCTAAAAATAAAAAAATTTACCCGGTTCAAGCTACATCCCCTGGAAAAAAACCGATGCACAAAGAAAAACCAAGGGGGATTATTATCTACCTAAAGGAAACTAAAAGACATATTTTTGAATTTTTGTTTAGACCTTAATCCCTCAAGAAAACCGTCTAGGAGATCCATCATCGGGAAAAGTCTAATTTTTCTACCTTTTTCATTTTTTTTTTGATTTTTCTTATTTTCCACATTAAAAAATAAATTAAGCTACTAAAATACTACACAACTACGGAAAAAAAAAATAAGAAGCTAAAATACTAAAAAGCTAATTATCCAAAGGAATTCTCCCACCCCCCACTTAAAAGAATGCAATGTCCCCAATGCACAAATAAAGCAAAAATAACAAGGGTGAACAAGAAACTCCCTGAAAGACCAAAGGCTGAAGCACTAGCAGCTCACGGGATACTCAGACTTCTCCCAGGTATGATCCTTTGTGCGGGTACCTCACACTTAGTTTTAACCACCTGCACGCTTTTGCACATGCATATTGGCTTTGACTCCATGC